TTCTGCGGTTAAAGCTCAGGCCTTGGCGGTGGTCTGAGTGGCTCCCAGAGCGGTGAGCTGCTGAATCTTCTGGCTCATCATCTCCATGACAGCTGTGGAAGAAAACGGAGGCGTCAGAGCCTGCTTAGAACCTAACCTCAAGTTAGGGAAAAATAGCAGGCAAGTTTAAAAACAGACAACTACTTACGGTTTCCTAATAAAAATTCTGTTATTCATTGTGGGAGATACACATATCACAAATTCTGAGCCCAGTCAATACATTAACGAAATGAATAAAATCTGGATTTCAATGACACCTAATGTGCCATTTCTGACTCATAGTGACCCTATAGGACAGAGTAGAACTGCCCTGTTGGATTTCTGAGGCTTTGAGTCTTTAAAGGAGCAGACAGCCTCATCTTTTTCCTTTGGAGTGACGGGTAGATCTGAAGCGCTGACCTTGTAGTTAGCAGCTCAGAGAGTAGCCCACACCACCAGGGCTCCTCAGATACAACCAGAAAGTTACATGGTAAAGATTTTGGTCTTTAGAAGTGCTTCTCAATCTTGACTGTGTAATAGAACCACCTGCGGGGCTTTTAAAAGTCCAACCCCTGGGAACCCACCCAGGAGCCTGGGGGAACAGTGAGTTCCACGTTGGACCACTAACCGCAAAGTCGGCAGTTCAAACCTACTAGTCACTTCAAGGAGAGAAAATGTGCCTTTTGTCTCCAGTAAAGGCTACAGCCTCATAAAATTGATTGTGGTGATGACTGCACAACTCCTTTTAATATGACCGGGCTAATGAATTGTATGGTATGTGAATTACGTCAGTGAAACCGCTTTAAACAAACAAAAATATAAACACACAAGATTACAGCCTCAGAAACCAAGAAAGGGCAGTTCAATTTAGTTGGCCTCATGGGCCCAAAGCTTTCTTTTAAAACTCCCCATCTAACTTTAAGAGGAGCCCTGGTAGTGTACTGGTTAATGATTAAGTGGGGCTGCTAACTGCAAGGTTAGTAGTTCAAAGCCACTAGCTGTTCCGAGGGAGAATGACTGCGCTTTCTACTCCCTTAAAGAGTTGGTCTTAGAAACCGACAGGGGCAGTTCTATCCTGCCCTATAGGGTCCATATGAGTTGGGAATCAACTCGATGGCAATGAAGTAATTTTATGTGAAGCCATGACTATAATCGCTATCACTTAATTAGGGTTTCTTTCTGGTGTTAATTTACATGCACCTCCTCTCTCATTCCATCCTAATTAATAAGAGCGCCAAAAGATTGTAGACATGATGTCTTTCCTTTCAAATTCTCAAGCACCCAACCAAGAAAAAAAAAAACCCACCACCACTGAGTCAATTCTGACTGATAGCAACCCTAGGAGACAGAGTAGAACTGCCCCTTAAGAGTTGCTGAGCTGGTAAATCTTTTTCTTTAAAAATCATTTTATTAGTGGCTCATACAACTCCCATCACATTCTATACATACATCAATTGTGTAAAGCGCATTCGTACATTCATTGCCCTCATCATTCTCAAAACAT